TTGTAACTGAACTGTGTATGGTAATAAGTTCCTAGAACAATTAACGTGAAAAATAAAAATTTATTTAATTACGGAGAATTTTGTGTAATTTTTTACAAAAATAAAACTAATCTATGGTAGTAATAATGTGAGAAAAATATTCAGTGGCGTATTTAGGTTTTTGTCATGGAGGAGATATGACTAAATACGGCAGTTACCAACTCGAGGGGTCTACGCCACCTCACCCTCCTAAATTTCCAGAAATAATAATAGCTTTTTATAATAAATTAATAGCTATTTAATATACATTTAATGTACATTCTATGTTAAAATATGTTGCCAAAATTATAATATGTAACACTTGAGATTAAATTTTTTATTGATACAAAGTCGAATGCTTAAATAAATATGAATAATATGATGACTATAATTATGTGTATGTATACAGCCTATGAGGGGGGATTTATCCCCTTGATCCCCCTCCCTGTAAATACGTCACTGGAAATATTTTATAACTGCTTAACTAAAAACTATTATTTCAAACTATTTATATTCTTAAGACGAATTAAACTTATAATATGATTAACTTTTTTCGTGAATCGTGATTGTTTCATATAGTATTTATCATTCAGTTATATTTATTTTTTCTATTCTCTAATAATGCTGCATAATGAAATATATATATATATTATAAAAAAATATATATATATATAATATGTATATTTGAATTATAAGTTTTCAATAATAAATAAAGTCATGATTTATTCTCAAATTTCAACTTCTACTCGTAGAGTATATTACATGAAAGAGGTACCTCTTTCATATAATTTACCTGTTATATCATAGTTTTTACAGATTATAAAATGCATACATAGTACGTAAGCTATCTATATATGTATCCGTAACATACTTATTGGCTAATAATAATAATACGAGTAGATATTATTTGTTTCAATACTTAACGAAAAATAATTCAAATTATATAATTAACTTAAGTTAGTGATATTTATTTAAAAAAATATATACCATTAACGTATTCAGCCATGAGTAGACATACAGTATACCTATAACGGGATATAATGAATAACAAGTATATGTATTCTATGTTATTCGTGTAAATGTGTAATCTATATTATAATGATGATATAATTCTGAAATAAAAACAAATCGAACATTAATATCCATTTTTAATTGTTTATTAATTAACAAATACCCTTATTAGACTAGAATAAAATGTGTACGTAAAATACACGTTTAACTTTAAATTATTAATAATATTTTGGTATAACCAATTATATATACTTTTAAAAAATAAAGGTAGAGGAACTACGAAGTCAATTCAAAAGTATTGACTACCTACCTGAATTTAGGAGCCAATTCAATTGCACCGAAATGCGTTACAGTCGTATTACAACTATTACCTATATACACGCGAAGTTATTAAATCAAATGCATTTCTAACATCTTATTAAGGTATTGTAATGGTAAGCATTACATATTATATTGTTATGATAACTTGACTATTGCGCATCACACTATTTATACATAAATATATTATATTATGTACTTAGCCCTCGTTATCGCTATAATCGTTTGCACAAGGTTACATCGTAATACATATTTATGTAGTATGTATCGTGAATATATATATATATAGATAGAAATGACGGAATATGTATACGAGACCACTAAACGCGCGACAACTTGGAATTTATTAGCCAAAAACACGTGTGGCACATGTCACGCACGTGACATCTGGTTTTTTCTCTTCCGCGGCGGATGGGGAAATATAAAGTTCAAAAGTTCACTCGCAGAGCTACTTTCGGGGATGCGTGTTTCGTTCTGTCATCCCCCATCCCCCACTAGTGTCGTCTGTCTAACCCTCCGACCTGTGACGTTTTCGCAGACGGTTCGTTTACCGCGCGTACACGGCTATTTCCGGGCTGGCGTCCCCCTGCAGCATTGTATAACTAATATATTATACTGCTATACATGTAGGTACGCGCACTGAGCCGCTTTCTTAAATATTTTCGGTCTCGGCGTTTTATTTTTCCGTCATCTTCACCCCCTGCCTCCGCCTCCGCTGATCGGTTCTCACGCAAGAGGGAGATCGAGACGGAGACTGAGTACAGCAATGTCTGCTACATTTTAGTTCCCTCTGTTGCGGTATCCGGGGCACGAGGTTAGGCTGCAAGACGGATGAGCAGCCGCCGCCGATTCCGCGTGCGTAATTAACCGCGTGGTGCATATAGATTTCGCGTGAGTATATACTATTGTAATAGCAATAATAATATATATCTACGACGCGCGCAACACGTGTCGTGGAGTGGTGGCGGCGATAGGGTTCCCACAGGGACGATGCGCGGAAGTAATGATCCGCGGAACGTCACCACCGCGGATATAGGAAGTGACTGGTGTTTATACTGCGATGATACTTAGATCGTTTAAATCGCTTACAGAAATGTAATATATACATATAATGTACGTGGGCATTCGTCTCCGGCGTGAGAAAACTGATGTGAGGAGTAAAATCTTCATAATATATGTATATTGTTTTGTATATATGAGTATTGCACAATAATATCATATTATATGTCGTATGCGGTGACATAAAATTATTAGACGGTATATTGCACATAATTTCAGTCTTATTTGTGTATCAAACCAATGATAAAACACCGTGTTTATAGTGTTTAAGATTCTTAAAAAACTAATAACTACCACGAATAATAATTTTGAAATCTGAGCGGAGCGATTAAATACGTACTGATTTTACACTGACGGGTGTCAACTTTGGAGGTGGGGCGTGGTTTCTGGTAGCAAATTAGGTCTAATTGGTTAATTGATATTTTTGGCGATCAAAAGTAAAAAAGTATTTTCCAGTATTTTTCTACTTAATGATAATCAAAAAAAAAAAAAAAAAAACAGAAAAACAAAACAATTACGTTGAACCAGTTTTTGAAAGATAAATAAATTTATTTTCTTATAGCTCAAAAATAAATAACCGCAGAAACTTAAAACTTTCAACAAGTTTATATTATCATTTCTATATGTGGTAGGATTTTCAATGTATTTGCTTTTAAGTTATTTATGAACAATTATTGTAATTGTTGATTTATTGAATTTTTTCTTCTGGTTGCCAACAAAAAAATGTTCAATCGGTCAAAAACTTAAAATGTAATACAAGATTCCTCATACGTTGTAGTTGATAAAAATTTAAAAAAAAAAATTGAGCATAAATACATACACTTAAAATTTTAATACATTTTTATAAGCTATCAAAGTTCAAAATTTTACGACATTGAAAATCACCCGTAATATACCTAACTATTAAATTTCTCCTCAAACGGTTGCTGTATTAAAAAACAAATAGCCATAGATAATTCAATTTTAATCAAATGTTTTTATTATCATTTTCTATTCATACTATAATTGTCAATTTATTTTGTCTCTTTTTGAGCTATTTAAAAACACGAGAAATTCTAATTTTTTTTAGTATTGTTTTTTATTAATGTCGATAAAAAAAATATTAATTGCTTAATTAAGATTCTTGATAATTCAATAGTCTATCTCACATTAGTTATTCTTATATCTATATAATAAAATTAAGATTATAATACGTATATGTATAGGTATGTTTTTTTTTTTTTATGTCTATTTATGTATTTATTATATTTAAAAATAAACTTTTACAAGATTCATCAAAATACAAGCAAGTATTTTGTAAAAAAAAAAAAATATAAAACTTTCAATTTTCATAGCTACAGTTTATGAGAGTTTTATCATTGGAACTAAAAAATCGTATATAATATATTATATATATTATTAATTCATTAATAACAATATTTTTTTTTACAATCGGTATACATTAATTTAATGATTGAAGGTTGGTGTTAATTAATAGCTAAGCATAATACTTTAAATTTAAATAAAAATCAATAAAATTACACAATAAATGTTTATTTTTTTTATTAATCAAAACAAAGTGTAGTAGCAATCTTAACATAAGTACCGGATTTTTTATTTTAACTCGTGTAATCATACGTTTGGACATATTATATTATACTTTATGCAACGAGCTATATAATGCGCAACAAAATATAAGGCGAATGATTTTTTTATCCGCTTTCATAATGATTAGAATCTAAGTTTAACTGTGCTTACCATGAGTTATGTTCCAACACTGTAACAGGTTATCGTGTCTAAACCATTATGTACATAGGGTCTTGTTGAGCTATTTTCAACCTCAGCCGAAACCTGCATTAAAGCGCACTCGATTTTAGTCCTACCAGATGTCAAGTTTAATGAAATTTTTGGCATTGAACTCCATAGTCTTCTAAGGATACCGGGGAAAATGTTAATTTATATTTATGAAAAAAAAATTCATAAATTTAGAATAAGTTTATTTTTATTATAGAGTAAATTGATTTTTAATATCGAAGTATGCTGGAAAGATATTCTGTTTGTGGTCATTTCATTGTTTGTTTAATGCAATTTTAAAGGGAAGGATTATTATTTTACGTGTAAATAAATATATTATTATATTAATATTAAATAAAATAAATGCAATTGTTTTGACAAAAATTTAATTAACCTATCGTAATACTAATAGTAAAATAAATGTCTTTAATAGCAATATTAAAAAAAACATATTTATAATGCAATATAGTAGTGATATAGGTTAGGTTAAAACCATTTTCTATGTACAATAATAAATATATGATTGAATTAAAATTTAACTCGTCTATTACAGTGACTCATTGACACCTACTTACAGCACAACGGTACCTACAATTGTGCACCTTTTTTATTATAAATATTATTTTATTATGAGAAATGTTATAACTTAAATATTGCTAAATGATTTGTATTAATTAATCAATGGCCGTAATAAAATATTTCAGATTTGACTCTAAGTATTCTTTGAGGAAGAATTTACCGAGACGATCTTTATAAATTATTTCAGGTATATAGTATTATAAATGTTATAAAATACATGCGGTCACTAGACTAGAACCATAATGTGCGCTTTGTCGTATGAAAGTCAGTGTATTGAAGTGATTGCAGTAAATTTCACGTTTCCTCACATCAATAGGTAAATATATTATCATATAAATTTTAGGCGATATAATACGTGAGTGATTGTTTAGTCATTGTATTCCGATAGTAACAAACTTCATAGAAAAATGGTTGATCGGGCGTATGCGTGTACCCTCAGTATTTTATACTAGCTTTAAACATCATTCTGTAGTTACACTGTTGTAGTATATTATTGAATACAAGTTTTTCGATCTGAATAAAGACAATATAAAAAAATAAAGTCAAAACCAGTGCAATAACGAACGCATACCGACTTAGATGTTTGATCATTATTATCATATTGCACCCGCGTGTATATAGTATATACACGGCCGTAGTTTTCCTGCCGATAAATTTGCAGTGCGAGCGCGACAAGAATGTAATAATATTTTGTACGATCCTACTGGGGAAAGAAATCGGAAATAGAAATAAAATCGACTCATCGAAAAAAAAACCCTCAATGCTACTGGTTCTCGTATTACAGTCGCGTAGCATTCTATTTGCCCGATCGCGTCGCAGAGACTTTGTCGACCCGATGAGATATATATATATATATATATATATATGTATAATATTATATTATGTGAGCGAGCATGTACTATATTTTATCGTTACTCACGAATCGGCCAAGTCGTTTGAGTGACAAAAAGCGCCTTAAATTGTATTATATTTTATGAAATAACGACGATGCAGTTCCAAAATAATACAACTCATTGATTGTTCGTTCTGGTTAACTTTACGCCATTTTTTTGATCATCAATCTCGTTATTTCCTAATACAATCAAACAGTACACACATATTATGGAGAGTATTATATACCTAAACTACTTTTATAGTATATTATGTAACAGGTACCTATGAATACAAAATAATTAAAAATGTTATGATACATCAATAAACTTAATAAAAACATGTTTTTTATGCCTATCTGCCAATTTAAATTGTTGTATAATTATAATAATTTACATACAATTTATTAATTAATTAATAATTATGGTTTTTAGACGTGATAAGTGAACGAACAGTACCTCGAATTTTTGAAAGTGAGTTTAAACTATTATAATATATTTAAAGAAAAAGAGTTTAACCCACTCTTCCATCGAAGACCTTAAAAAAAAAAAATTGAAAGAGTAATAATTTATTTCTGTCTCTCGGGGGAGCAGAATGGATGGAACTTATACTAAGTAATTATATTCCGTAATAATATATTATATAGATATACGTTGGCAACCGCCCTTCGATGTGACATTTCGATAATATCGCGCCACTTTCTGATCGAATCGTTGACAATACGATATCACGTATATTTTATTGACCTTTCGCCAACAATTAAAACAGAGAAAAGGTTTTTACTCAAAGGTGAACCGGTGGACTGCGGCATAATTTTTTTTTTTTTTTATAAATCAAAATCAAAATATAATTTTCGAATATTTTTACAATATTATTATATACTATATACTGTAATATTATACTCAATAATTAATAATATGATAGATAAAAAAAAAACTTAATAACGTTATTAATTTATTGGTAAAAATTATTGTACATAATACAATTTAGTATACATTTTGTGTATATGATGTTAAAATTATATTATATTATTAACTACAATAATGTATTGCAAATTTCCTCACCACCTTAGCACATTATGAAAATTGATTTTATATCAACATTAATGTTGCATGAGGTATTGCATGTGGTGCGTTTTTTTTATTGTGGTTTCCCCGAGTATAAACTTTAGGCCTAATCCACACAAATATAATTTATAATATGTATCAATTAAAATTATAATACTATATATACTAAAATAAGATTAGAACTTAAATAAGATTATTAAAATTATTTTTAAAATTATACTTAACTGATTACTGTTACTTATATTTTAATAATCGTGTAACAGAAAAGAAACATTTTTCACGAATAATTTTATCTATTTTTTTTTTTTTATATTAGATTAAAGGCCGTTAAGACCCATTTCTGCAACACATAGTTCCTTCTATCTCTCTTTATCTGTTGTTATCTCCCTGTAGTTTTCAATTATTAGCGTTGTTAGATCATATTTGAGACTTTATCAATCAATCGTTGTTTAGGTCTGCTTAAGGGCCTCTTTCTTCGTGGCTTCTAACCCAAGATCTCATTATTGCAATCATGTTAGATCTTATTATGGTCACATATCTATTATACATTTAAAATCTCGCATTATCGTCATTAACAATATTTAATTCAGGATGTAAATGGTATTAATGATAATCCAATAAACGGTATTGTACAATTTCAATGGTATATATTAAAATTTTGATGTGATTTCGTTCATATTGATATATTTTTGTCTGCTGAATTCAACATTGTACACATGCATCTCAAAATAAATATAAATAATATTTATACATTAATATTATAATACTATATAATATGTATATTAAATTAAGATAAAAACTTAAATAACATTATTAGAATTATTTCTGAAATTATACTTACCTATTTACTACAATTTTTATTTTAATAATCTTGTAACAGAAAAGAAACTTATTTTTCATTTTTTCACATATTATTA